GAAGGCCACCATTGCGCTATATGCATCCAAGAAGATGCTCAGCAGCACATGGGGCCTGTCACCTGCTTTAATGCACTGGATCTTCATATCGGTGGTGCGACCGACTCTGCTGTACGGAGTCTTAGTGTGGTGGCAAGCGACAGAAAAGAAGACGTATAATAAGCTTATGGAAAGGACCCAGCGGCAGGCACTGCTCTGCATTACGGGGGCGCTGAGGTCAACCCCAACAAAAGCTCTCGAAACCATAATCGGAATCGACCCCCTGGACATCCACGCTCAACTGATTGCAGCAAAGGCGGCACAACGCTTAGTAGCGTCAGGAAACATGCTCTACAGGGATTCGGGCACAGTTCAATTGGCCGAGACATGACCAGTATATCTGACTACATGATCCCCCAAACTTGCCTGGACGTAAACACAACCTCATTTATGGGACCCGACGACTGGAAAAGGGGTCGGGACCAGACCCAACACATCAACATATACACGGATGGCTCCAAGATGGAGGAAGGAGTAGGTGCGGGCATATATTGTACAGACCCTGAAATAAGGCTGTCCTATAAGCTACCGGACCAATGCAGCATATTCCAGGCAGAAGTCTTTGCCATACGGAAAGCGGCGGAGGTTGCTCGATGTACGGAACGCCCACATAATGTGATCAACCTGTTCGTGGACAGCCAGGCGGCGATAAGATCCATGCAGTCGTCAGCGGTCAGTTCCAAAAATGTCCTGGCAAGCAGGGAGGCATTAGATTTCCTAAGCACGACTAAGTCAGTGCGGATCTATTGGGTTCCCAGCCACCAGGGCATCGAAGGTAACGAGACAGCAGACGTACTGGCTAAGGAAGGCGTCGGCCTGGCAAACGGGAGGACTGAGAACGTGCCTGTCCCCCTCAGAGCGCTCCAAAGCGATCTAGAAAGGAGGGCACACGTAAAGGCCAGCAGCAGGTGGAGGAGAACCACCAACTGCAAGATCGCGAAAACCATGTGCAAGGAGAGCAATGGTAAACTCAGCCAATACCTACTACACCTACCACGGAAGGACTGTAGGATGCTAATTGGTATACTCACAGGTCATTGCCTGGCTGCAGCACATGCAGTCAAACTAGGCATCACCAACAGTGACAAGTGCAGGAAATGTGATGAACCTGGGGCTATCGAAACCCTGGAACATCTAATCTGCCAATGCCCGGCCCTCTCAAGGGCAAGAAACATACATCTTGGCAGCCCGGTACTGGCATCGCTGGAAGATGCATCCAAGAGGACGCCAGCGAAACTCCTTGCCTTTGCAAAACTCTCCTCGATCCTCACGGATTTCAAAACCGCGTAAAAACACTCAGTAGGTCCATACGCACCAATCCGGACAACTAAGGGCCATATTGGCCTATGCGTGGCCCCGTGAGGGCCGTCCGGGACAACCTAACCTAACCTATTGGCTACTGCATTGGTTAGATGTATTTACCTGGCGAATGCATCGGATGAGGCCAAAAACCATTCGAAAACCTAAAATATAATTAGTTTTTGGACAGTGGCAGGGGGCAACGAGGACGACGACGACGTCATGGCACAACCGGAAACCATTTTATGAAATATTTTATTTAATTATTTCGAATATTGGTATATAATTTGTTCGATGCCATTGGTCTGCTCCCATGGGGTCGGGTCCGTCCGTCCGTTCGTGTTTGTGAACCGTTATGTTGCGGTAATAGAATTTGGACAGAGGTTTTTGGTGCCATTCCGACATTTTTGCCGCTGCCCGCTGCCCGCGTCTCGCGCCCGTTCGAACTAATTAGACGGCGCACCAAAGCGAACATTTTTGGTATTAAAATTCGTTGAAAGCTCAAAATTATATTTATAGATCGCGGCAATAATTACGCAAAGCCAATGTGCAAATTGTAGTGCCTGTGGTTGCATACCCCATCACCAAGAATGTTTGTGCAGTCCGATAGAGTCGTCCGGGGCGGGGAAGGCATAGGAAAAATGCCTGTTATGGCTGCATAAATCGTGTGCAACGTCTGATAGGAGCACAATAGTTGGATCAGCGTCATATTAATATTTTTTGTATGCCTGAATGAAGTATGGCATTGATTAAACATGAAGCTCCATAAGTGAATCGAATTTTGATGATTCGAACACGAACAGAAAGCGCTGCCTAGGATCATATACTGCCATATGCTACTGTGTTCAAATATCATTGAATTAAAATTTTAATTCAATAATTATTGAAGCCTCTTAACATATCTTTGAATAGTTAGTTCCTTTAGCAAATTTCCTGTCAAAGACATGAATGCAAGTCTCTTCCAGGATTAGCGTGAGGCTAATGTCAAATAACCCACGAGCACTAGCTCTGTGGCACAATTAATGTCTTATCAAGCAAATGGCTCCCCTGTCACGATGGTGGGGGGGGCAGAACAGTCGCTGATTATTAGAGGAAATGCCAATAAATTGCAACATTGACGTCTCCCAATTCACTTCACTCCATTCCACTGCACACTCCGCCGGAAGCATGTGCGTGAGCTAAGTGCGGGCAAAGTTCAAAGGCGAGTCACACGTTAAACGCCCATTAAATTTAGTTTCGATATGAATGCGATATTCCCCTTCCTTCGACTGGCTCAAGGGGGGGGGTCATGTGATTAGACTTGGCCTGGGCCCGAACCAGGCTGCGGTCACGCCAGCCAAAAGTCGTGTCCTGCTCTGCCTGCCACGGCACTGTCCTCCCCCCACCGTATCCCCATTGAGCCATAAATATTGGTAACAATCTAAGCACTGCGCCGGGTCAGGGCTCGTTGGCCCCAAAAACCAGGGGGGTGGCGGGGCCAGTTTGAGGTGCGAAAAGTCGCACTATAAGCCCGGCACACACACACGCCATCTGGCAGGCGCCACGCTGCTCCCCAATCCTCCCTCAACACCTTCCCTTGCCCCATGCCCTGCCGCTGCTAGAGTCGTTTTAAATCGCTTCAAAATTGGTTTTCAATTTTTAAACGCCTCTCGCCAGCTCCAGGCCATCGTCTGGGTAGGTGCCACATCGTTCCCGTTCCCGCTCTCGTGTCTCGGTCCTTTGCGTGCCTTTGCGTCTTGTCCCTTTACCGAGGCCAGGACTATGCCTGTGTGCGTGTCGCTCTTATGTTTTATACATGATTTTTCTACGCGTTGCCCTTTGTTTCTGGCTCGGATTTTGTGGAGTAGTTTGCTCCAGTCCCTGTGCCTGTACCCTGTCCCTGGGTCCTTTGGTGCCAGGCCATAATTCAAGTAGGGCGTTAATCTGTGACACCCAATCCCTTGGACGGATACGGGGGCGACACAGCCCACAACATATGTCGTTGCAACGACAGGAATGTGGACGAGGCAGCAGAGCAGCCACAGGAGAGGATAAGAGCAGGAGAAAGGTAGTTTGTAGTTTGCTGTGCATTTTGTCGCCGGGTGACTAATGGTACACACGGACACACACTCCAGAGGGTTAATTACTCAAAGGGTCAATCGATGTGTTTTACGGGGGTTTATTACGGCTTTTGTTTCATCTTTTGTATCACCCCGGACACCAGGCCCCTGGAACCGGTACGGTGTCTTCTTTCGAATGTTTCCAAGCAGATGTTGCGGCAACATATGCATGAAGCAACATTTATGCATGCTACATAATGTGTAGACTATATGTAAAATTCGAGTAAAACTTTCATTTGCAGGCCGTGATATAGGACTAGGACTATGGCTATAAAAATGGGCCATACGTGTACTCCCTACGCCCTGGAACGATATGCAAATGCCACGTTAATTAATGTACTACCGAACCCTGAAGCCGTAAAACCATAATCATGGTTGATTGATTTAATCATAAGTAAAAATTGCATAGAAGTTTTTGGTTTTTTTCAAGTTTTTTTATTCATTTTTTTTGTTGTTTTAGTTTTTCTACTCATTGTTTTTAACATTTTTTTTGTGTTGGTAATTTTAAAAAAAGTTTTTAATTTTTTTTGTTTGTTTGTTTACGTTAGTTTAGAAATTTTTTTGCATTTTCCGTTTTACATAAACATATACATATGTGTATATACATATATGCATCGTTATAATTAATTATTAATATAATAATAGTAGTAAATATTACTCTTTATGGTTTAAACTATCACGTTTTTCACAATAATCTTGTCCTTCGTTTGTTTTTTTTATTTATTTATTTATTTTTAGTTATTCTCACGTATCCGTATTTTCCATATTAAGTTTGCTTACAAAATTACTTTTAATAGATTTTTCCATTGTGTTCATCTCGTAGGTTGGTATCGTATCTCGTATCATATCATATCATATAGATTTAAGTGTAAACTAAATATATAAAAATTGAAAACTTAAAGGTCACATACAAGGTCACCAATAAATCAGATGTGAGGGTTCAATCATAATAAGTATATAAGTAATAAACTAAAGTCAACACTTCATGTGAAAAACAGAATAGTTGTGGCAAAAACTATGTATAACCATCAACAGCCTAACGAATTGTCGTCGAACATCAAGCGATGTGCATCTAAATAGATAGATAGATGGATAGATATATGTATACCTATATCTATATTATTGGTAGATCATTAAGCTCATATAGAAGCGTCTGGCCAATAGGTTTGTGAGGGGGGTTGGTGTGTGTGTGTTTAAAATTGATAAGGCGACATTTTAAAAAGCAGAAGAAATATATTTACAGATATCTAATGTATTTATAAAGAAATAATATTTAATGAAAGGGTTTTGGGTTCTTTGCACTTTTTCATATTTTGTTGTGGGGGGGGATGTATTTTGATTTTGCTTAGGCTAGATGAGCGAAGCATTTATTTATTATCAAAGAAGCTGATGGATCGATCAATTGATTTCATAGATTTAGGCTCTTGAGGAATATTCAGCCGACCGAGAGTTTTGCAAACTTCTCGACTGATCTGATCCGGCGGCATCGATCGAACCAAACTTCACAGTTCGTTGCGTTTTATTTTCGCATTGCAGTTTAAAGTCGGATGATGTCCCTATATGTTTATATGTATGTAGATGATATTTTAGATATACGCGCAGATATATAGCTAAATATCAGTATTAAGCTTACATTTGATTTCTCACATTTTTTGTAAATGTTTTTTTTTTTTTTGTTTAATGATTTATCAACTAATGCGAAACAAATTTCGTTATATATTACGATTGATTTTCTTTTCGATTTGCATAATCTGCTCTGCCTTATGTTCTCTAGAAAGTTTTCAACTTTTTTTGGACTTGACATTTTTCAGTTATTAAAATTTTTTTGTATTGTTTTTTTTCTCCTTCGAATTAAAAAATTAACAAGTGCAAAAACTAAACGTAAATAATAAATGGTTTTTTTTTTGACATGCTTCTAAATGCTTGGCGGGTTACGAAGTTCTGGTTCGGTCTTTTTGTAATGTGTGTGTGTGTGTGTGTGTGGGGGGGGGGGGGGAGTTCAGAGACCAATTCGAAGATAGATTGACAGACTTGGGGGCAGTGCAAAGGCTACGTTTCCGTTTCCATTTCTGACTCTAATTCCGATTGCGATTGGGTTTTTTGTTTTGCTTTAAATGCTTACATAACTAAAATTCGCTGGCACTTGAGCCCCGCATGCCTCAATGGGTGTATGTAAAGGTGTGCAAGTTCTCTCGTTGTCTCTTAAACAAATTACATTCATTACATTTTGCGCTTTGGGTCACACACAAGAAATAATAATAATAATAAGAATATATATATATATTATTCATACATGTCTATCATATATAAGGTGCTCTCGCGCATACACGTAATGTATGTATGTATGTATTTGTATATAGAACGTTTCGCTTTAATTTACAAATGTTTTTATTTGAATTCAGATCATTTGGTTTTTTTTTCTTGTTTTGTTTTATATCAAATTTCGTTTTCCGTTAGGGAATATTATTTAAGGGATAATCGTTATTGGTTTTCATCTTCATACCGTACAACAGTTCAATGGCATTACGTCTATTATTAACGCTCTGCTTCAAGTAGGAAAAAATAGATCTGATTTAAAGGCAAAAACAGAATATTTAACAAATAAAAAATAATATTATTATAATAGTCATTCAGTTTCTAGATCATGGCTGATTGGCACTGGGGGACCCCGCTTAGTGGTTGCTGAGTGTGTGTCAGTGTATTTCTGTATCTGTGTGTTTTTTTTGGGGTTTATCTGTGTTCCAACAGCAAACATTGAGCATTTCATATATAACTATTTCATTTAAAGGGACTGCAAACAATAAAAAAAAAATAAGGTATCATCATCATTACTACTAAACCAACGCGCGCTAGGGCAAATTGCAATAAACAAATTTCAAAAATTGTACTTAATTATGCTAAAAGAGGCTACTGACACGCCTCTTCCCCCACTTCTTGAACGCCTGACTCTCGAATACTACTACAACTACTGCTGCTACAGACGAATAATAAGAATGAATAGTGAACAAAAGAGAGAGGAGCCAATCGCATAGAAAGCGCTGTGCTCCCAACTAAGTCGCAATTTAACTTAAGTCTAATCGAATAAATGTGTCTGCATTTTCATGTTTTCTACTTCTGCGACGATGACGAGGACGACGCTGCTGCTGCTGCTGCTGCTGTTGCCACTACTATCGCTGGCGCTGTTGCTGTTGCTGTTGTTATTGTTGTTGCTGCTGCCGCTGCCGCCGATGTGGAGGCACGCACTATATTATTTGTCTGTGATATGCCCTGAGCCTGTGGCTTGGACTTCTGCTGCTGCTGTTGCTGCTGCTGCTGATGATGCTGACGCTTGTGTGGCGCCAATCCTGAATTGCTGCCACCACGTCGCAGCTCATGCTGGGATCCTTGATTGCGATGAACAACCTGCGGCTTATTGCCCAGCGAACCGCTACGAGTGCGCACTGTGCTGCTGCCAAAGGAGCCGGTGCGTCTGCGGTTCTGATTACCGTATCCCTGATGATATTGCTGCTGTTGTTGGTGGTGGTGCTGCTGCTGTTGTTGGTGCTGCTGCTGCTGCTGGATTAACCGTCCCACATAGTCACTGCGATTGGTGATGGTGGTGTTCAAGCGACGACCACCAGCCGTGATCACAGCGGTTCCATCACTCTCGGACACACTGCGATGCCTGTTGAGCTGACGGCCGGGATGCAGGCTGCCCACACCCTGCAGCATCTCATCGATCTCTGGCTCCACCACTCGGAAATCTTCGATGGTCTTGAAGTTCTTCATATAGTCTGCCAGCTTTGGCTGTACCTCCAGCTTCTCCCCGTTCTTGTAGTACTTGAGGAAGGCCCAGAATTTCTCGAGGCCATACAGTTGACCTGCCAGGGACGAAAAGATTAATAAATGGAAAAGTAGAGTAAGAATCGGCAATGATGTGCTTACCCGTCTCATAGTCGGCCACAGTCTCGTCCTGGAAGTCCAGATAGATGCTTGGCCTGAACTTTCTCTCCAGGCCGTACGAGAAGAATCGGAACAGACACTCCAGGCCATAGCGGAATCCGTTGCCGGCATCCTCCAGGGCCAATGTGCGGAACTCATTGTACATGGTCTTGTTGAAGTTCTCGCGCAGGAAGAACGACCAGAAACGATACAGCGTGTTCATCTCCTGCGACTGGCCAAAGCCCAGACGACGCCGCTCCTTGAGGCACCGCGAATGGTACTTGTGATAGGCCTGCTGCGTGAAGTTGTTCTCCTTGAGCAGAGCATGCGACGGATGCTGGAAGACGGGCAACGATTGTGGCACCGACGATCCAAACGACCCATACGACGATGTGGTGGGCGATGTGCCCGCCGACGAACCCATCGATGTGGTTCGCGGCCTATGCTCGACCGTGTCCAGCAGCCAGCCCACATGGGCCTCCACGGGCGGATTGGCCGTGTGGCGTAGCTTACGTTTGCGTGGCGTCCGCGGATCGATCGAATGCGAATTGGGCGCAGCATAGAAGCGGGCACGACGCGACTTAAGCGTAGAGTTCAGTGTGGAATTGAGCGTAGTGTCACCGACCAGCGTGTCATCTGCATCCAGATCATCCAAATAGGCTGGCGGCGGTGGTGGCACTTGCTTCTGCACAGCCGCACCCTTGCCACGATTGGGCGCAACGCCGCCAACAGCAGCCAATTTCTCAAAGTCCGCCTGGGAGATGACATTGACGGTACGATAATCGGTCACCACATTTGTGGTGGTCCACAGATCCTCCTCGTAGTTGACCAGTCCATCGTTAATGATATTCTCCAGATCCTGTGTAATTTTGGTGCGTGAGGTAAAGTCAGCGGTGCGATCGTAGCCTTCGTGTTTGGGCGGACGGCCCACCTGGGCGACAATCAGCAGCTTATTGATATCGCGATCGGCAAATTCATAATCGCTCTCGTCATCGTCGGAGAAGTTTTCGGTAAAGTTATTGATGCGTCCAGTGGCGGGTATGGGGTCCATCAGCTCCTCATCAAATTGAAAGTCTAGTTCTTCCTTTTCGGCATGGCACTGAGCGGATGGCGCAGCAGCTGTTTTGGAGGAGGAGGAGGAGGATTTCGAGTTGGAGATAGCATTGGCAGATGTTTTCTTATTGTTGTTGTTGTTGTTTGTGGTGGTGGTTATTGTTGTTGTGGTTGTTGTGGTGGTGACGGTGACAGAGGAAGCATTCGTGGTGGAGGCGGCAACGGCAGCGTTGTTGGTGGTGGTGTTGGCGTTGGCGGACGACACAGAGACAGCAGCGGTGATTGTTGATGAGGCATTGTTGGATGGGGCGTTGGATGCACACGAGGACGTGGACGTGGATTTGGACGAGGTGGCGTTTGCGGTGACGGTGTTGTTTTTGTTGTTGTTCGTTTTGACATTTTTAACATTATTATTATAATTATTATTGTTGTTGAGCGTTTGTGAAAGCGATTGTTGTTGTTGTTGTTGTGTTGTCGTGGACGAGGACGAGGTGTTGGTGGTGGTGGTGGAGGATTTAGTAGCATTTTCTTTTAAAGCATTTGTTTTCGAGCGTCTCTTTACCTCTTTCCACATGCCCTCCGGCTCCGCAACCAAAGCAACAGCTGCTCCAGCAACAGCACCAGCGCCAACACCAGCCCCAGTTCCTGTTCCAGTTCCTGATCCTGAACCAGCAGCCTTGGGTGCCGCCCTCTTATCGGCCTTGGGCTTAACACTCTCCGCCAGTCCGCTCAAATGTCCGGCCAGCTCTGCAGCACCGCCCTCCACCTGCTGGGTGAGCACACTGATGGCATTCACCGAATTGATCGTCGATCGATGCTGCTGCTGCTTCTCCTGCAGCATCTTGGGCACCAGATTCTGAGAGTTACGCGGCCGTGGCGGCGGCGGGATGCTGCTCAGTGGCTTGGTGGCCATTGCAGATGTGAGGATGGCGGGAGGTGAACTCCCCTCGGATGCTGCTGCAGCTGCATCCTCGGCCACCTCAGTCTGCTGCTTATTCTCTGATGGCTCCTTCTCATTCTCCTGCTTGGACAGCGACTGCTGATCCTTGTTGGCAGCATCTGGTGCATCGCTGATGGGCCAAGCGGTGGGCGTGGTCTTGGTGCGCACCTTATAGCCCTCGAAGAGATCCAGTTTATCCGATTCCTTGATGGCGTTCACAATCAGGGCCACGTCTGTGGTCAGAGCGAGAACCCGATGGAACGAGGCGATCAATGTTACCGGTATATACCCTTCGGGATCCATTTTGCGGCGCAAAAAGAAGTCACCGGTAAGATTATCGGAGCTGAAATAGTATTCACTTGAAGAGGGGGAAAAAGGATAACGAATTTAGTTAGTAAAATTGTGGATTAAGCAGAGTGTTACGAGTGGGTGGATCCTTTCGGTATACTTACACTTGCTTCTTGAGGGCCTCCTTGACGCTGTTGGCATCCATTTCGATATAGGAGGCTGGCACATTGCCAAAGTAATGAGTGCCCATGAGCACGTACGTGGACCGGGCTGAATCTGCGCCAGCCGCGTCCGCTGGCAAATAGTTTGCGTATTCGCCCGAAGCTAGCAGATGGCGTGGTATGCGATTAGTCGGACGACCTGGTCCCTGTCTTGAGAATCCACCCCGGCCTTGCCGACCGCCGCGGTACGGCGTACGGAAGCGGCGCGGTCCACGGACCCCGGCACTTGCCCCGGCACCACCTGCTGCTGACCCTGGGCCCGAGCGCTGCTCATCGTAGGGAACGGCATTGGTGCTGGCGCTGCCGCTGCTACGCCAGGAATCCACGCGCTCGGTCGGAGCAGTCGTGGAGCGGGCAACGTACGGATACCGGCCGCTGTGTGGCCGTGTGGACTCCGTTGCTGCTGTTGCTCCTGCTCCAGTTGCAGCAGCATCGGCACCCCGCCCATTGGCTGGCGCCGGCCCCCGTTCGTGGTAGACACGCGGCGGACGCCGCTGATCGACGCCATCGTCGCTGAGCCGTCGATGGGGCCGGCCGCCAATGGGTTTAGGGCGACTGGACTTGGCCAGATCGATTTGCAGCGGACGCCACTTGTGCTTGGGTATCTTTTTGTTGACGGCAGAGCCGGCAAGGGCGCCAGCAGCTGGTGCAGTGGCACTGCCAGTGGATAGCTCGGCTTCTCGCTGGGCTTTGGCATCATGGCTCGTGCTGGCTGTAACTGGGGCTGCTGGTCCTGCTGATCCTGTCGGTGTAGCGTTGGTGGCGACAACTGTAGCTTGGCTGCTACTGCTGCTGTTGGTGCTGGAAGTGGCGGCTACTACGTTAGACTCTGTGGCAACTTCACTTGAAGTGACGCTGGTTGCTGCTGCTGCTGCTGCTGCTGCTGCTGCTGCTTTAGCTGGTTGCTTTTTCGTTGGGTTGCGTTTGGGTTCGTTGCTGGTGGCTTTGCCACTGCCAGAAATTCCTCCAATAAGCGTGGGCCAATCACCAACGTTGCTGAAATCGCTGGCCTACATATATGAAAGGGGGAGAAGGGGTATAAAGTTGCTGCTGCTGCTAGGAAACCTACTGCTAGGAAACCTTCTTCTTCTCTTCTTCTGATGTTGACTCACCTTCTGGTTGACCTTCTTCTTGTCCTTTACCACGACTTTGGCAAGTGCATCCGCTTGACTGGCATCCACTACTATGGATAAGAAATGCACAACGTTTATAAATAAATAATCAGGCCATTCAACATACTCTCACAGAGCATCACAGAGAGCATAAGGGGAAAGGTGTGTGTGTGTGTGTGTGTGTGAATGGGAGAGCAAAGTAGTCACATGGCGGCATGGGAGAGGCCTCTGCTCCGCTTCGGGGTGCTGCTGTTGCCCAGCAAACAGAGGAATTTATTACAGAATTTATACATCTATATTTTCTATATTTTTTTCTGGCAGCAGCATCGCCTAAGATAGAGAGAGGCTGCCCATTTATTTCCCCTACTGCGATGCTCTATGGCGCACTTGGTTTTTAATTGAATTGATGGGAACTGTATATATGTATATCTTTTTTACACTCACCAGTTGTTGTGGTTGCCTCAGTGGTTGTGGCTGCTGCTCCTGCTGCTGCTGCTGCGGGTGGTGCTACTGCTGCTGCTGCTGCTGGTGCTGTGGTTACCGCTGTGCTTCTGCTGCTGCTTGTTGCTGTCTGTGTAGTAGTCGGTGTAGATGCTGTAGATGCTGCTGCTGCTGCTCCCTGTTGTGGCTGTGATTGTTGCGGCTGCTGCTGTGTCTTTTTGTTGCTGGCGTTAGGATTGGGATTGCTGCTGCTGCTGCTGCTGGTAGTCTGTGCGCCTTGGTTAGTATTATTATTACTATTATTATTGCTGGCAGTCGTCTGCTTGGTTTGTGATTGCTGCTGCTGCTGTTGTTGTTGTGCCTTTGGCTGCAACACACGCTTGTCCAATGGAGAGGTTCCTGCCTTTGGGCTCCCCGACTGTTTGGCTGATATCTGTAAGCACACACAAAACATACCACAGAAATGCACACAAATTAGAGAGATTTTTAGGCATATATTATATATCTGGTAGTACGAAAATTGTCCACTGTTTGATAGTTAGATGTGTCATGCGTCGTCTTGAATTTCCCATACAAAAAAAAATCAATTCAACTTCGTTTTAGAAGTCTGACACCCTACACTTGGCCGACTCCCCAGTACCCTGTCGCCGCTCTGCTCCACGCGCAGCTTGACTCCGAATCTAACTTCCAACCTCTGGGCCAAGAGAAGCCGCCGCCGCCGCCTCCCTCTTATGTTGGGGAGTGTCCCTAACCTAGTTTCGGTTCATTGCAGGGGCTAACGCGCACATCACGTTATGTGGTATACTATATCGACTATATAGTACCACCAGATCAGGGGTATACACATGAAACCAATGAAAATTACCTCAAAATTAGCTAATTAAAACAAGGCTGTTCTTTCATTGATATTCTGCCTTTTCACTGCAGCTTTTCTTCGCTTATCTTATCGCAATGTTCTGTTCTGTGTTTGTTTTGCATATAACACTTTTTCGCTATTATAACAGCAAACGTTTGATTGTTATTAGCACAGTTGTGGGTTTTTAGATGCCGCTGTTGCTGTTGGGCTTTTATTTAAACAATTGACTGGAAATTCTGAACATCCGTTCCGCTGAACTGCTTGTCGAGTTTTGTTCGTTTCGAGCAGTACCACGACTCGACGCTGCCTCTGCCTCTGCCACTGTCTCTTCCTCTTGTTCACCCCCCACCACCGCCGCCCATTGTGGCCTGTCCACGCGTTGGCTACGTGAGCAGAAGCAAAGGCAAGAGCACAAAGAAGCAGAGCGCAACAACAAGAAAAAGTGGCAAGGCAGAGGGAGAGGCACAGAGCAACAGCACAAACAACAACTGGTTTTTATAGCGCAACCATAAAAACAAGAGAAAAACTACCTTTGCGGGTCGGTTAATTTGATACCCTTTTAAATCAATCACCAAGAAAAAGTTTTTTATTTACATACTTGTTTTTCCAACTGATCTATTTAATGGCAGCTATATGGCGATACTATGTTTCCCCTTTTTAGCGGAAGCAGCTTTGCTAAATTTTCAAGTATATTTATATATTTTTTTGTGATCGTGAATCAAACATATGAAGAACTCAGAACACCCACAGCCAGGGAATTAAAATACACGCGGATTCAAAACAAAAACAAAAAACATGCCATATTTATGCGCCGGTTTATTGATGCGTGTGAGAGAGAAAAGAGAGAGAGAGCACGAGATACGTGCGCCAGAAAAGTAACGACGCAGCCAAGTATTGCCGGGTGAGAGAGACTAGCAGAGAGAGAGCCAGCGCAGTAGACATTCGTATGCGCGTCCATATACAGGTTTTCTCTCTCTCTCTCTCTCGGATTAAGTGCGTACGTGAGATGAAGTGTTTATCCAATTTGAGTTTTGTTTTTATACGCATTTTCTATATATGCCTACGCCCAATATTCGAGCTTTTAAAATTGTATTTGAAAGTTCACCCACCGACAAGACAAGCATTACTAGCGGAGTACGAAAACCCACAGCAAAACAGGTGCCAAATCCGATTAACAACACATAGATCTTCGCCCTCTCGCTCGCACTATGCTGTAACTGTAGCATTGGGAAAACGAGGCAGAGACAAAACAAACAACATGTGATTTTCGGCACGTAGGCCAGGCGAAAAGGAGAGAGAGAGAGAGACCGTCGCGACATACGGGTGGAAAAACTCCGAAATGAAGAGAAAGAGAAAGAAAGGGAGGTGACAAAGAGAGAGAGAAAAAGGAATGCAATTTTTTCCGAATGATTTTTCTTCATTTTCTTTAGAAGAGTAATTTTCCACTAAATATCAAAGAAAAATTCCACTTAATGGATGAGTGCCAAAAGCACATGTTTCTATGTATATTTATACACATATTTTGGTCATGTTTCTTATCGCATTCGACATTTTGAACCCCCCGATCAATGCTGACGTATGAAGAGGTATTTGTCATTCAAATATACACAATAATTTTACGATTAGAAGTGTATTCAAAGGTCATTCGATGAGAAGCAGATAGCTCGAAAAGGTAATTTTTTTTTTAATGTTCTTAAATATTATTCTATTATAATTTCTATGTGTGATTGGGACTATTGTATGTTCCGAAGGAAACCCAAGATTATTCAAAGATTTAAAAAACATTAACTTGCCAATTAATTCAGCTTCATTTAAATATCCATATAAAGTTTTTCACTTTCGCTTTTCACACTTTGGTGCACATTTTTTCCGAAATCAAATGATATGTAAATGATGTGTTCTACAACGAACGATCGCTGAATGACAACTAAGGCGCTTGCATTGAAAAACTACTATTTTAAATGGCATTAAAATCGCGAGCGGACTCCAAACGAGATAGCAACAAATTAAATCGTAAAAAAAAAACGAATAGAAAAAAAGGTAAAAATAAAGTAAACAATGACCGGGGGACCGCATCGAGACATAGTAGAAACGTGCAAAAAGGCCCACATTCCCGATTCAAGTCAACATTGTCGGAGGGGGGTAATTAGTTTGGGAGGTTAAAGTGCCGGGCGAAGGGGTTGGCAATGATTGAGGTTGGGGGGCAGATAACATCCACATTTTTCTGCGTTTTAGAAAATTCAAATACGAGTAATAATGCCGGCCGCAAAAGGCCTTATATAAAAATAGCAAGAAAACGTGGTCGAGAGAGAGGTAGAGAGAGAGACAGCGCACCAATCGGCAGAACAAGTAAATTCAATCTAAGCTTTACATGAATACTATTTCTACTGATTAAAAAAGGTCGCAAAACAAGTTAATGATTATTTTTTTTCTCTTTACTTTTTTCTATTTTTAGTTTTATTGGTGATTAAATAGGCGATTAAACTGCATGGCAATTGCTCATACACTCGACCCGGGGGGAGTAGATAGTCGGTTCGGATCCGACATCGTGGCGACGAACTCCAACGACACCCAGCGACAGCCACTGATCTTGGTCTGTCTCTTGGAGTGGGTGGGTGGCCGACCGCAAGGGGAGATCGGAGAGAGAAGTTGTTATTGTCGCTGAATCGAGTGGAGGAGCGCGACTTTATTAAATGCGTAGCAGGGCAGGGCAGAACTCTTATCAAGGCAACAATAGTATAAATAAACATAATAAAAAGCTAGCGAGAACGTGAACTAGGACGATGTCGACGTTTAAGTACCCTCTTATATCCGACTATCACAAGTAGATCAATCTGACTGTAGTGGTCGATTTCTGTATATTTTGGTAATTTTTTTAGTCTTTATTTCTCTATATTTTAGATTATTAAATTAAAGCACCTGCAAATCAAAGGTACATATTTTCAAGGGGTTCATACTTATCGGTTATATTATTATTTGAGGTAGGCTTTAAAGCACATTTGGGTTCGTTCACAGGCGTGTTATCAGCCTTATTTACTACTCAACAGAATTTAAAATATGAACTTCATTATATAGAACTATACCAGCAAGGTACATGTATATATTCTGCCCAATGCTTTTATCATATGTGGCGCGCAAAAAAAATAAAGTTGGTTCATTTTTACGGTAAATAATTACTTTAAAAATCAACAAGTAAACAACTGATAAGAACTGCGGCAGCGCCTTTTGAAAGCAAAGACAAATAAATGACACATGGGGGGGCCGCCTGTGGGGCGATACCCCACGCGGTGGGCGAATTATGAACACACACATACAGTATGTATGTATGTTCCAAACTATAGAGACTGCAGAGTACACATTTATCAATTTATCAGTCAATAAATAGTGTTGAAATTGCATCAAAAAGAGTAGGGGAACATTTTTTAAGTAATATGGAATTAAAAAGGAGTCATCTATCGAACCAAATGAATATCGGATAAAGCAATCACACCAAAAAGCATAACAATCAAGCATTTCATTTTTAATAGAAAATCGTATTTTTAATCAGGTAACCCCCAAAAGAACAGTCACTGTCGAATTTGATCGAATAAATTGAGTTGTCAAGGCCTATATCTTATCTTATAATTCTGTTTATTTCTTTGCACTATACCATTCACAAGGACGATGGAAATACATACATACATACATACATATACTATTGAATTACAGCCGAAAACTCAAAAACAACAATTTATTTATTTATTTGGTATTTGCCGTTTAGTGTGAAATAAAAAACGATCAAAAACCCACAACAATTCATGTTTCAAAATCTACACAAATTTTCCAATAAAATGGAAAACCTATTAATTTAATTGTATCCTTGTACATGTATCTGAGCTGCTTATCCATGATATTTTATGGTCAACGATCTTATGGAAAATTACAATTAAAGAAAGGAAATGGAATACGGAATTTTTATCAGATATCTTTCTTCGTTTTCACTGACAACAGAGGATCGGCACTTGGCTCGTTGAGATTTCCAGCACAAAGAAATATGTAGGAAGTTTCCACAAGTAATGGTCAGACAATGAAGAAAAAAAAAAGAATATGGAAAATCCGACACACAAGGCAAATAAAGTACATATAATCTGATATGGTATGCATACTCAGCAAATCTCATTTACATACAGCAATGTCGAGACCAACAATACAAAAATAAATACGAGTACAGACCCATTATATCTACCGAAAACAAAAATACAAATTTGAGACCCAAGCGTAACCAAGAATCGTACAAAGATGTAAAATGAGTAGTGGAAAATATTCGCTCAAAGCATTAAATTTCACATCTGAGTTTGACTAATGTACACTCCCTCCGGATCAACCCACAATGGGGAATGGGCGGGGGGGGGGCCCGTCAACGATCTGCAACGTAATAGCAGACAGCGCAAACACCGCAGCGGCGTCAGCGACGTTAATTGAGACAAATTAATATTTTTAAACCGCGATTGGACGATTAATGTTTATAAATAGAATGGAAATTGAGAGTGTTATTGTTTAATACAAAACAAAAAACCAACAATAACAATTGTACACATATTTTCTGGGAGTACTTATTATAAGAGGTTGTAAATTTTTAGTGTTTTTAATCAACTTTTTATAAATAAAAAATTTTGCGTTAATTCAGATCCAACCAATTTCTTACATCCCTAAAATCCCTTGAAGACAAAATGAAATAGATTCCCTTATTTCCGATTAGAACCCGGCGCCCCAGCACATCCCCAGCTGTGACACACATTTCTTTATTCTATAATAATACGTTTTAATACATAGAAACAGTCATTAATTTGTTATGATTATTGCATATTTACTTTCGTTTTCATGTTTTTGATTGTTTACTGTACTCAGATTGTAAGAGCCAGAGAGAGAGAGATAGACGCCTATCACTCTCTAATCACGCACACCACTATAACGGCAGAAATTAACCTTACGACACAACGTAAACGTAATGCTTTGACGGAACGAGATATGGCACACATACGACGACACAGAGAGGAGAGAGAGCGAGCGAGAATATAACGCAAACACACACATACAATTTTCACTCACGCCGCTGATATCAACAAGTGTATATATGCCACTCTGTATATATGTACATTTATCAAGTTTTAACTTCCACGTTTTCAACGTTGTTCTTTCTCTGTATGTGTATTATTATACTTTCTTTATTCTTAATCGCTTCGCAACAGTGGACCCTTTAACGTCGCGAGTTCGAGAACACGTGCCGTTTTCTAACTGATTCGCGAGAGTGCGCCCCGTTTGCAAACACTTGCTAATTAAATAATATTAGTTTTAATAATTAATTTTCGGGAGTGTTTTCTTCTTTCATTTCGCGTGTATCGAAACAGAACTCTTCAATGGCACACGTCAACGGGTACTGGCGGTGGACTTTTAAATTTGGATACGCTTACGCTGCTGACGCCGCGTTGCACTATTGCAGAGGCAGAGGCGTGAAGCGTAGACGTTGAATTGGGTTAAAACAAGCATCGAAACAAAGCAAGCCCAATCGTTTAAGACAGCCTGACATTTGCATTGATTTTGATGGTACTACTACTAGTGGCAGCCCTAAAAAATTACGGTATATGAAAGCATACAACTGCTTGCTTACACGTTTCCCTCTTCAGCACACTGCTTGCTCTCAGTAATAAAGTAAACTGCTTGCTACCTGTAGCACTGCTGGATGTCATACAAGTTTAAAAACCAGCGGAAGCAAATATATGGTAGGGGAAGGCAGTGGCTCGCCTTGGCAACAGTTGGAGCAGTCGCCAAGAGAAGGTTTCAAATAAAGCTTCTCTTTGGTTTTTTTTTTTTTGCTTCCTAATTAGTCGGAAATTAGCATATGCAAAGAATGTTAAAAGTGAGCAACTGATTTTCATTGGAGTGGGAAGGGAGGGAAAAGAGAAGAAACTAAACCAAAAAACGTGATAGAAAGCAAATAATTAACCCGTTACCAGCACTAACTTTTCCGTAGAAAGAAGAATTAGACACGCCTTTTTTTTGTTCGAACTGGATTTCCCTTTATTTCACCTTTTTGCATTCTCTCAACAGTTTTTATTCTGTTTTATGCTTACGTTTCGTTTGGGGTGGGTAAATACACAGATACGGCTGACCTTGACATTTATTTTTAGTTGCAAAATATATTTTACTTTTTCTCTCGTTCGTTTGCGCGACAAACACCGAAAACCAGATGGCAAATGGAATAGAAATACAAAACAATTAATGAAATTAATAAAAATATGTACAGCGAAATGAAATAAAAGGAAATCCTTCGATATCTTTTAACGTATTTACTTTTGTTTTAAAAGACCTGCAAAACGGGCAGAAAAATTGTTTGTTTCTCTCTCTCTCTCTTGATTTTGTTCTTTTAGCTTTGTTTTGGCAAATGTTTTCCGTCTTTTTCTTTTCGTATATTATGCAATTTATCTGAGAGATACAATTTGGTAATCTTCGTGGGGCCCATAACGATAACAACAACAACAACGACGACCGCAAAACGTAACGGAACGGGGAAAACGTGTTTCCATTACACTTCTTTGGGCTGTTTTGCCTTGCATTCGTGTTCATCAGCTGGCTTGCTTTGCTCTGTCACTTCGTCTATGTCGTTCTACGCACATTTGTTTACAAACAGAAAACTCACAAACACATACACACACAGAGCCACATACACACACTGAGCAACATACACATAGACGACACTGCCTGTCGTACGAATATGGACATAGTTTTTATGTTCATTCCATCACAATTTAAGACGCAATTCCGACAAAAAAAAAAGGAAAACAAAACGGAAAACCCCAAAAAGTAACCAGAGAAAACGTGCGCATCGGCTTGCATAGTGTTGCCTAATACCGAAAATGTGTGTGTGTGTGTGGGGGTGGTAGGAGAGGCTTCTACAGTTGTATTTTCCATCCCCAAAAAATAGGGATCCCTAAATGAAATGCATTACCAATTTAAAGAAGAAAAAACAAAAAAATTTCACTCTCCAGGCCCCACAGATGGGTCCAAAATAACCCATTTGATGACCTAATCCCGACTGGGGTTTTTCTCCTACCTTAGGGCCAATCCCTAGTGATTCCTTCTACCCAACTGGAGGTAAACAAAATCAATAATAGAGGCATTTCTACAACTGAATGATATTGCAGAATATTACCAGAATTATGTACATCCTCCCATTATGGAGTACAGAAAGATTTCTTCAATTCACTCACCTTCCATGCGTTGACTTTGGGCGGTGGCGCTGCTACGAAGCGCTTAGGCGCAGGAACTGCTGAAGCAGCTCCTGCTCCTCCGGCTGCAGCTCCTGTGGCCGACTGCGATTCGCCGTCACCGGATTTGCCCTCGTTGCCGCTGCTAGTGGCCTCGAGGCTAGCACTGGGTGAGGTGTCCGATCTGCGATCCTTGTGTTGTTGCTTCCCACTGCCGGCAGCTCCTGTGGCGCCACCGGGTGCACCCGGTTTGCGTGGACTGCCGCCACGTGAAGCCCGTGGACGGACTGCTGCCTTGCGATCGGTGGCGCCCCCATCAGGGGCACCACCATTGCCAGCGGGCCGTCTGCCGGCCTGCAGGGGTTTCTGACCAGCGCCACTGCCTGGATGCTGTTGCTGCTGCTGCGGCCTGTCGCGCTGCTCACGGGGCTTGTCCTTGCGTGCCTTTTTGCGGTCCCGCCTATGATGGGAGAGCACCGGCACAAAGTCATTGTTGTCGTCCAGTTCGGATGAGTTCTCCGCGGTATTGTCGCCACCGGCGGCAGCACGCTTCTCGCCGGTCAGCGCCAGGCTGACATTGCTGACCAGAGTCTCGCCAGCGGCTTCAGCGGCGGCGGTTTCCTCACTCCACGACTTGAGGCTCTTCAGATTTGGTTGGTTCTCCTTATTGTCGACGGCCGAGGATGAGGCGACGGCAGCGGCACCGGCACCGGCGACTGGGGCACCTCTCTTCTTGGTGTCCACATTCTGGACAACATTGGCATACGAGGTGCTGCTAGCGGCGGCAATGGGTGTGGTAACTGCGGTGGCACCGCCCACAGCAGCGGCCCCAGAGGACGGCGTCTCCTCCTTGCTGGACATGCTCGCTGGTTGTGGCTGTGCCTTCGTCACCAGAGTAGGCAGCACTATGCGCTACTCCAGATTTAGATGCTGGGTAACTGCTGCTGCGGCTTGTTCCAGCTTCTGCTTCCGCTTTAGATCCTAGACACACAGCTACAGGCTCCTGTGCGGGGAAACTCTTGGGCTGTTGTCGTTGTGTCAAATCGTTGGAATTTCTTCAAACTGTAACGTTGAGAGAGGCGAACGTAATCAGGTTAGTTTATGGTTGTTCTTATTGCAGCTGCATCTTACATAGATACACACCCACACACTCACAAACATACGCGTACACAGCCCTTGCTAATAATGTGCACTTTGACCTTTTTAGCAGAGGACACACAGCGGAACTGGAGAATTTTAGAGACTCCTGAGTACGTCTGACATTATGCACTGGCCATGTTGATGCTGATGGAAGCCTCGCCTTGGGCTGGGGAGCTACGACGTTTGGGGGCACATCGCCTCACACAAACACCACCACCAAAACCGCCTACGATCAAAATTCAATGGCAATTTTCACGCTGCTTTGCGAATCGGATTTCAACCTCTTCTGGACAGAGTTATGACACCAGCAGGCCAAAAAGGCAGCGCAGCAGGCAGGCCAAAGGTAATGAGGCACGACAAATCGAAATAGAGGCGAGGCGAGAGCGCACCGACACTGAAATGTATTATTATGCAGCAGCCAGGCCAGCGAGAAGTGAGGTTAAGACTACCGAATATGCCCCCCCTACCCGTACACCATACTAGAAGCAGAGCAGCCAGCCGCACATTGGCGAGGGCTGGCAAGCAGCGACGCCCTGTCCACTTGCTGGTCTTACGTTTGGCTCGCGTTACGTTACGTTACGCTACGCTGCGTTGGAATTTCGAAAAAGGCAAACAGAAACAACACTACCTAAAGTCAATAACAAAACGGAGAGTACATGTGCAACAGTTGGTTGTTGTAATTGTTGTTGCTGCTGCATATTAACAATAAACAAAGGCTGCGTAATTGCAGTAATTGCGATTATGCAATAACAATGCACTGCAGGCAGCAGCAGCATGCAGCCCTGGATGGCAAACAGCTGATTAGGCTGCAACTCGCCTCAGATTTCAAAAGATGCACGCGGGACACAACACAACCTAAAAGTATATCACACACACACACACGCATGCAAACACACTCTAACACTAATACGCACCAAGAATGGAAATCCAAAATATGCTGAAGTTGTTCCTATTCGGGCGGCAAAAGGGGACAAACAACAACAACACGCGGAGAGCCTGGCCAAACAAAAAAAAGAAGAATTGTGGTACACAAATTCCCCTTCCCTTCTTTGCGTTCACTTTTCACTACGCACTTCTTATGCTGCTGCTGTTGTTGTTGTTGTTGGTGCTTTTGTTTCGTATGCTTCTTGCTTTTGCGGGTTTTCTTTTCTCTCTCACTCGTCGCACACTTTGCACTCGCCCTCTCGCTCGCACTCACTCACGCGCTAGTGTGGTAGAACGTTTTGGTTACGAATATTACGAATAACGCAAATTGAAATGATCTTTCAATTGTTCGTCGTTGCCGTGCATCTGATCAATATATTTATTTATATATATATATGTTCGCGGCACTTTGCCGCACTATACCGCCGAAAGAAAAATATTGTAAAATCTCGGTTCCAGACATGTGCTTTTACTAGAGATGGTGTCAAACCATCGAGGGCACTATCGATGGTAACCATGTTTTGCTGCTATCCGCTACTATCGACGGTTTTGCAACTATCATGATAGTATCGAGCAACAGTTGTTGCGCTTTTGATATGTTTGGATTGGCTGCTATAAAATACGAAGACACATTAGTAAACAAATCGACAGGTGGCATCTAATTTTTACAATGGACAAGTTCCTAAAAGGTTTCAATGGTTTTTTAATAATTATTTGAGCCCGATACTACTACGATAGTATCGACTGTTTTTTTCAAAAAATTCAACGTGGATATTCCTCGATTTTGATATTAATATTACTAGCTAGTTGGCACACTCAGCCCTAAACAAATAATTTTATACGATAGATACATCAATTTTCTACAAGATTGGGAAGTTTTCAGAAGTCATTTTTATTGGATTATTTACAAACAACAACATTTCAAACAAAAACAACATAAAACGAATGTGACGTCGTTTTTGTGGCGTTGCCAGACTCGTGCAATTCGTAGTTGCTGCGGGCTGCCATACCATGATATTTTGTGATATGAAATTCGTCAATTTTGATATTCAGTTTAATATTACTAGCTAGTTGGCCCTTTCAGCCCTAAACAAATAGTTTTATCCGATAGACACATAAATTTTTTACATTTTCTACGGTCGAAAAGGAAACAGGGTGTGTGACCGCGCATATATCGAAAAATACCCTCGGAAATATACCTTTAAATTTACAAAAAAATATAACAGACTTGCCTCAAAAAAATTCAATAATGAAAACCAATTTAATTTAATTGAGGCAGTTGATTGAAATTGTAATTAAATTATTTTTTTATATTTCTTTCCCGAGAATGTGGATTTATCTCAGAGTGGCGGCGCTTTCTTTGTTTATTGTCCTCCTGCAGCGCCACAGCGATCTCAAATAATACTCTTTTGCCTGTTTTCATACAAAATGTGAATTTTTAATAGATTATATTTGTAAACAAACCGAAACAATGTAACCGTAGTGCCTGCACAGCTGGTCACACCCCTAGCGAAATATACAACATTTTTAGAATACGTAACGTAAGCTGCAGGAGCGTTACGTATTCGATAGGAGGAAACGGAAACGACTACAAACATTCAAATTGAAGTTCAAATTCTAAGAAATTCAAATATATTTCTGGAAATACTTATATATTTCAATTGCACATCCACAGAAGAATTATCGGTTTACAACACACAAACAGGTCAAAATATACTCTACGAAATGCAAGAAACGGTCACAGCGGGGGAGGGAAAGGTCGCAGGCTCCATTGAATCCAAAGGATCGCGGATCGGAAAGGCGCGAGAGAATACAATAATGCTCAGAACTTAAATCTAAATGGTTACGAATCATCAGCATCCCTTGGAATTGGAATTATTTTGTTGTGCTCCTCCGTCCTACTCCACCGTCACCGACTTGGCCAGGTTCCGGGGACAGTCCACATCGCAGCCACGCAGCACGGCAATGTGGTAGGAGAGCAGCTGCAGCGGTATGACAGTGAGGATGCCCTGCAGGCAGTCCACGGTGCGGGGAATCTGCAACGATCGCGTGGAGAAGGACATCGTCTCAGTGTCGTTCTCCTCGCAGATGAGTATGGGGCGGCCCTTCCGCGAGGTCACCTGTTGCAGGGCGTTCATACACTTTGTGTAGACGGGATCCCGCGTGACGATCATCAGCACGGGCATCTCATCGTCGACCAGGGCGAGCGGGCCATGCTTCAGTTCGCCCGCGAGTATACCCTCGCTGTGCATGTACGTCAGCTCCTTGACCTTCAGTGCCCCCTCCAGGCAGGTGGCGAAATTGAAGCCCCTGCCCATGATCAGCAGCGACTTGTGCTGGTACAGCTCCTTGGCCAGCTCCTGCACCTGCGAGTTGAGCTTCAGCACCGATCGTATGTGCTCGTCCAGCTGCGCCAAGCCCGCAATGATCTCCAGCCGCCGCTGCTGCAGCGATAGACGGTCCTCGGACATGACCAGCGCGAACATCACCAGCGAAATGAACTGCGAGGTGTAGGCCTTGGTGGAGGCCACGCCAATCTCCGGCCCTGCATTGATGTGCACGCCACAGTTCGACTCCCGGCAGATGCTGCTGCCCACTGTGTTTGTAACTCCAACGATCAGGGCGCCGCGTTGCTTGCAGTAGCGCAGCGACATCAAGGTGTCCGCCGTCTCGCCCGACTGCGAGATGAAGAAGCACACATCGTCGCGGAAGATGGGCGTGTTGCGGTCCAGGAAGTCCGAGGCCAGTTCCACCATGACAGGCAGTTCGGTAAGCTCCTCCAGCAGCTGTCGCGTGGCCACGGCACTGTGATAGGAGGTGCCGCAGGCAATCAGCATCAGACGGCGACACCGCTTGATCTCTGGTATGTACTCCTTGATGCCGCCCAGCACAATCGTCTGCGTGTCGAAGCGTACACGTCCGCGCATGGTGTTGACCACAGACTCGGGCTGCTCGAAGATCTCCTTCAGCATAAAGTAGTCGTAGTTGCCCTTCATGATCTGCTGGATCTCCATTTTGAGCGTGATAATCTCCCGGATATGCGGATCGTCCGAGGCTTTGTTCAGGCGGTGTATGCTCAGCGTGCCATCCCGCTTGACGGCGGCCACGTCATCGTCCTCCAAATAGATAACGCGATTCGTGTGCTCAATCACCGCCGATGCGTCCGAGGCAAAGAAGTACTCCACCTCCTTGTGCTCCAGTGGCTGGAACTCAGCGCTGCCATCGCTGCCAGCCTGCAGCACGGGGAACGGCTGGCCATGCGGCCGATGCGCCTTGGCATACAGGATGGGCACATGGTCGGTGGCCAGTTTTGTCTTGGCCTTGATGCCCACCAGCAGCGGGGAGCCACGCCGTGAGGCCACACACTCGCCCGGAAAGTGCTTCGACTTGAAGGCAATGGCAAAGGCGCCCTCCAGCTGCTGTATGGCCTGCTCCACCAGCTCGCCAAAGGTGTAGCCGGGATGGGTCTGCCAGAGGTGATGCACCAGCTTGGCAATCACCTCCGTGTCCGTTTCCGACTCGAACACATAGCCCCGCTTCTCCAGCAGCGTCTTCACGTCCTTGTAGTTGGTGATGATGCCATTGTGCACGACCACAAAGCTGTTCTCCAAGTCCGATCGCTGCGGATGCGAATTCAACTCCGATGGCACGCCGTGCGTGGCCCAGCGCGTGTGCGCAATGCCAATATGAATGTCCAGCGGCTGGCTAAAGCTCTCGCCGCGACACGCCTCCACAATGGCATCCTCCAGCACCTTGACCTTGCCGGTGCGCTTCAACAGGAGGATGTCGTCGCCCGCATTGAGCCCGTCAATGGCCACGCCCGTGGAGTCATAGCCGCGATACTCCAGGCGTTTCAGTCCCTGCAGCAGCAGCTCCAGCACCTGCTGGCGCGACTTGGGCGTCAGGTAGTTAAGGTACGCGAATATGCCACACATTTTACACTTGGTTGGTGTTCGTTCTGCTCTGCTCTGCGTCTGTTCTGATTGTGGATTGTGGGGTACACGTCGACACGATAAGCTGCTTCTTTATGTAAACTGATGTGTCAGTTGCACTCCGGACATACGATTGGCGTTGTTGTTGGGCGCGCGCGCTTATTATCGCGCAAGTTGCTGGAATTTTTCTGTTTTCTGTTTTCGTGATAAATTTTGCCTAAGAACACGTCTTCCGCCGCAGCCCCCCCGCAACATCACACCCACACAGACACACACACGAATCATGCGCACGCACGCACACACACGCACACACCGAATTTGTCTTGTAAACATTGGCAAATGGTGTGACCGTAGGCGGGTATGCGGAAAATGTTTAGCAGCTAGACAATATTTATATGATATGATTATTATATGATGCTATGTTTTTACCATAGTTTATGATTGGCACTCCAACAAGATCCATTTTAATGGGGGAAATTGTCCTTGTACATTTGGTACATTTTCTGGGGAAAATTGTCACTCAATTTTAAATCCTCATCTCATTTCATTTTGCAGTTTATGGTATTCTTGCAGATACCAAACGGGATCGAGAAATATATATAAAGGAATCTAATCTAGGTCAAAAACATGCCAATACGAGTAAATTCATTGTTATTTAGGTTTTAAAGTATTCCAATTGGATGCAGAAGTTCAACAATATTGATAGGAAATTTCCCAATTGGGTATACAAAGTGCCATACTCCACAAAATATGTAGCAAATGTGTAGTTACCGTGTAGTTACCATGTGAGACAAATGACATTTTTTTTGCTGACCTTCTTTGTTTAAAGCTTATCTTATAGGTAATCCAATGAATGGGAGTCCCTAAAATAAGCCATATTGTAGAACATTGATTCATCTATCGGATAAAATTATATGTTTAGTTCTTATAGTCCTAACTATATAGTAATATTAAATCGAATATCCAAATTGATGAATATGATTTTCCTCGGTATATTTACTGTATATCATGATAATGACAAGGTATATTTGAGGTATATTTTTAAAATGAGACGGTATATGAGGGCATATTTGATCAATTAATCCGGTCACACTAAAGTCAAGTCGCCGACATTGTGCAACGCGAAATTCGTGAAAATTTTTTTCAAATACAATTTCAATTTGAGCAAAGAGTAAAGTGAACAATTAAAACTAGAAAATGACGGTAAATAAGCGCGACGCGAGTGCTGCGCGTCCGCGTTGCTTCTTCGACATAACGCTCGGCGGTCTGCCCGTCGGACGCATTGTTTTCGAACTGTTTGGCGATGTGGCTCCCAAAACCGCAGAGAATTTTCGCTCCCTGTGCACTGGCGAGAAGGGTCTGGGTCTGATCACAGAGAAAAAATTGCACTACAAGGGGGCTATATTCCATCGTGTGGTGAAGGATTTTATGGTCCAAGCGGGCGATTTCAGTGCAGGCAACGGTACCGGCGGCGAGTCAATTTATGGCGGCACATTCGAGGGTAAGCGTGCTTCTCCCTCTCTTTTCGTGTGTGTATATATACATATATGCGACTTCGTGTGTGTGTGTGCATTGGAAAAAATCAATAATTAAAGACCGACTTTTTGATTGTCTTTTTCGACAGATGAAAGCTTTGAAAAGAAGCACGACCGCCCATTTCTGCTGTCGATGGCCAATCGCGGCAAGAACACAAATGGCTCGCAGTTCTTTATGTAAGTCAGCCTCGCTCTGGGGCCCAGCACTAACCCCCCCTCCCTTCCTGCCATACATATTGTCTTTTCAGTTATGTTCCAGTCGCCAGCCCGTTTCTAAACCATATTTATTTGATCAATTTTAAACATCTGTTGTTGTTCATTAATCTATTGCCATTTAGCGGGGATTAGCGCGCGCAGAATTTAATGAGCTGCGGCGGACTGACCGACCGACCCAACACCACCATCCAACCACCAACAACCACCACCACCACCTGCAATCCCCCCTGCAATGCATTCGTCTTTGGGGTCTGTCTGGTGGGTGGCCGGCAGTTGCTGCTGCTGCTACTCCTCGATGTGCCTGTGCCCCCCAATAACGTCCACTAGCTGCTGCCTCATCACAGACCAAACTACAACAAAGTAAAAGATGGAATTTTGGTGCTCCAGCACCACCGCGACTGGGCCTTCCCTCTATCTCTGTCTCACTCTACTGTCTCTACGTGGATGTCCGCCCCCCCTAAGATGATGTTTGCCCCCGACTTGATGTGCCTGGATGCGTCTCCAAAGCCAGGCCAGGCTTTCTGTGGTGGTTGCTTGATGCCGGTGGCCATGTTCTGCACCTGCACCTTGATATCTTTTTACTTTGTTGCACTGTGGCATTGTCTCTACAAGAACCAACGACCAACGACAGCGAATAACCGAATGAACAGCCAAATGCCTACTGAAACAGCAACAACAACCAGAACAACAACAACAACAACAAACAACCCAAAAAAAGTTAGCAAAGTGTAAAGAATATCTTTTCTCTTCTTCTGTTTCTCATTGTAGTACAACACAGCCTGCGCCACATTTGGACAAGTGAGTAATCCTTTGACGAGAAGAAAACCAAACCGAATGCTCATACGAATCTATTTTGCAGTCTCCATGTTGTATTTGGCCAAGTTATAACCGGGCAGGAGTTGGTCCGGCAATTGGAAGAGCTGCCCGTTGACAGGAATTCACGACCGCTGCAGGATGCGGCCATAGCCAATTGTGGAGAGCTGATCAGACAGACAAAGGGTGAGTGGCTGACGAGGCTGAGCAGAAGCTGCCAACACAGGCAGAGAGCAAAAGTTCTTCATTACGAAATTTCTATTCATTCCACAGCCAAAAAGGAAAAGAAGCGTAGAAAGCGCTCAACGGCCACCGATGAAACAAACAGCGAGGATAGCGAGGCGGCGGCAGCGGAGGTTAAGACACAGCAGCGCAAGGACAAAAAAAAGAAGCACCGCAAGCAGGCAAAGGCCAGCGAAAGTGAAGAGTAAGAGTAAAGCTGTGTTCCATAGATGTTTTCCCTACTGCTATGTTCTCATGCCCCACAACAGCAGCGACAAAGGACGTGGTAATGGCCGCCATGTCCAGCAGCAGCCAGACAATGACGAGGAGGAGCAAGAGGAAGGCGAACTGCATCCCTTGGTCACCATCACCAAGATAGATCCTAACGAGATACCAGAGGTACAACACAGTCCATAATCCCACTCGAATCCCAGCCGAACAAATTAAGATTCCTTTTTCGTTCAGGTATCGAACAAATATCTCATGCGCAGCGAAAAGTCTCGGTCCCGGGATCGCGAGGAGCGTGAGGATCGCGAAGATCTCGGCTATGGTCGAGATTTGGACCGTGAACGGAATCGCGATCGTGGCAAGGACCGTGAACGGGAGCGGGACCGCAATCGGAATGCATTTGGCTGGTCGAAGAAGCAGCCACCGCCCACATCTCGCAGTGGACGCATTGTCAAGGGGCGTGGCGTGTTTGTAAGTCCCAAAAATTCATCCGCGACCAACGTCAAAGCGCCAACTGAAATTCCAATCTCGTTTTCAGCGTTTCCGCACACCTTCGCGCAGTCGCTCGAGGAGCAATACGCCGCCGCACTGGAAGCATGCCCAGAAGCGGACCATCAAGCTCTCGGATCTGGAGCGCATCGAGGAGGAGAGCAAGATGCGCGAGGAGGAGACAAGGCGGCGCGAACAGGAGCGCAAGAAGCGCCACGAGGAGGCCATCAAGAATCCCAAAAAGTCCTTCTTTGAGCTGTCGCATGCCAGCACCTACGGCGGCAAATTGACGCCGGACAGATCGCCCGATTATAAGGGCGGCAGCAAGGCCACAACGACCAGCAAGGAGCCCGACCGCAAGACAAAGGATGCAAAGGAGAAGCCCAAAGAGGACGCTGCTGCTGCTGCTGCAGCGCCGAAGCGTCGTAAGTCAATGGACATGAATGCCCTCGACTATGAGCAGCAGACCGATAGCGAGCCGGAGCCCGAGGCCCCAGCGGTGCTGCCCATCAAGGAGTCGAAGAAGTCAAGCAAGTCCGAGTCCAAGATAGAGGCGCCACAGAAGAAGGAGCGCGCCGAAAGCCGCACCAAGCGCGAGGAACGCAAGGCCGACGAGAAGCCCCGCGATCGCGATCGACAGCCATCAAGGCGTTCCCGTGAGCGCTCTGGCTCGCAGCCGCCGACGCGCAACCGCAATCAGAGGAGTCGCTCCCGTTCGGCCCAGCGCTCCCGTCGTTCGCCGCCTCGTCGGGCGCAGTGGTCGTCGCCGGGACGACGTGGCCAGGGGGGCAATAATCAGGGCCAGTTTCAGAGCCAGCACCATCAGAATCCGCATCAGAATCAGTTTCAGAACCAGCATCAGAGCCAGATGAATCGCAATCGACGCAATCCCTTTTCCGACGGCGGCGGTGGCGGCGGGGGCGTCGTCGTCGCTCGCGCTCCCAGGACGAGTACAAGAATCGCTTCCCCCTATCTCCCATACGAGGACGCGGGGCATCGCCCATCGGCGATCGTCGCCGACCGCAGCAGCAGCAGCGGTCTCGCAGTCGTGGGCGGCGACAGCAAACACCCGATCGCCCCAATCACAGACGCCAGGAATCTCCGGACAGACGTCGTCAGGAGTCGTCACCGGTGGCAAGGAAGCGCCACGATTCGGCCGTTCGCAAGCGGCAGGAGTCGCCGCCGGGTAACAGAAAACAGAAACAGGACTCGCCACCCAAAAAGCGGCAAAACTCAACCGGACGAAGGCGTCAGGATTCATCGCCCGAGCATCGACGCAGCCGCAGTCGTGGTGGCCGCCGGCGCAGCTCGTCGCGCAGCAACAGCAGATCCCGGCGCCGGTCACGCAGCAGCAGCCCCCTTCCCAAGCTGACATCGGCCCTGCCCATGGAGGAGGACCGTGAAAAGGCGGCACGCGAAAAGAAGCAGAAGCGAGCCGAGGCAGCCCTGCTGCTGAAGGAGCACATGCGCAAGGAGATAGCCAAAGAGGAGGAGCGCCGAGCCGAGAAGCAGCGACAGGACGATCTCGAGAAGGAGCGCACCACCAGAGAGCTGAGCGAGCTGGAGCGCCTCAAGGCGGAAACCCTCAAGAAGCTGCACGACGAGGATCGGAGTGGCAGTGGACCGGGTGGCGGCGCTGGTACTGGTGCTGGGGCCGCAATTGCTGCCGCCGAACAGCCCTCGTCCAGCCGGGGCAAGCGCGAGGGCAGCAGCCACGAGGATCGGCATCGCGACAAGAAGCGCAAGCATAAAAAGTCCAAGAAGGCGTCCGCCCGCTCGGACTCCGATTAGAGTAGAGTTTAAGACACAACAGGACTATCACATATAAAATCGTAACTTTCGTTCCACCAATTCGCGACATTTTACACTCAACGGCAAATTGTATAAATCTCTGTACTGAAGACCGTTCAATAAATGCAAACTTTACTTTACGTTTCCAAGGGTTTTTTTTTGTCATTCAATAAACTGTAATTTAAATAATAAGGAAGTTAGCACTGCTTTCTTTAACAAAGAGTCCCTTGAAAAGTGGTTTAATTAGATTATTAGAAGGATCGGTTAGCGCATAAATACAGAAGAACCAGTTATAAAATCCAAAAATTCTAAGCTACTTTTAAATTTGAAATTTATAAAAAAATATCGTACTGGGGTTCAGTTTTCCCCTCCATATCTTTCCATAATCTGTCTGTTTTCCAATTGCCTGTTCTTAGCACAGTCTGGCAGCACTGCTTTTGTTTGTTTTACTGCTTTTTCTTTCGTTTCATTCATGCTCGCGACGTCGACGCCGACGTTGCCATTGAAATCTCGTACGCAGCGCAGCCGGCGCAAACAAAAATGCCGGCAAATAAATGCAAGCTTACGCAAAAGCTTGTTGGAAAGAGAGCGTTTTAACATAACATGCTGCTGGATGCACATGAAACTCGTGCTCTCTCGGCTTGTGCGAAATGTTGCTCGTAAGCCGTCGGCAAGTTGCTGGAGCACACGGACCAGGGTGTATTACTGCAATAGGGTAGAGCGAGCCAACATTTTAGGTTGCTGGACACCACCTTGTTGTCCTAGCACACCCTGCTGCTGGAATTAACAGGCGGGTTTCCCATCCATGATATGAATTAAAAGTTTTTACATTTTTAGCTTTGAGCGCCAAGCCAATATTCCTCTTTGGAATGGCGTACATGTTTGGACGTGTTTGCTCCGCTCGGTGGGAAAGCTGCGGGCCCGCGTTCGCAATTTCGTTGTAATCCCAGCGCCGCCTCCGCGTAGCCGTCGTATTATCTTTGAGTCTGCTAACCGAATCTTTTAAATCTCAGTCCTTGTTGCGAGCGTTATATCTTTTGCCAAGCAGCGGGAGCGAAAAAGCAACAAACAAAAAATGCCAAACAACAAAGCTTTGGGAGAATTGTGCGCGTAATTCCGTTGATTTGGGCAGCGCTGTCCGTGTGCGTGAGCGTGTGGTAGTGCAAAAGGCAATACGAAATACAAACGTAAAACGGAAATGCAAAGAAGAAACAACACAAAACAAAGGTAGCAAAGCAACAACAGAAAAGTCAAAGCAAAGGCAAACGCAAACGCAAAGACGGGGGCGACGGCGCGGGCAACAGGAGCCGGTGCAGTGCGTGCACAGAGACAGAAAGAGAGAGAGATGGATAGTAGATCTATGTGTGTGTGTGCGTGTGTGTGGTGTGTGTGTGTTTGTGGCAAATCAAATGAAAACGAAATGTGATTCATTCATTGTCTGCCGGTTGCAGCGAAAGAAAGATGCAGAGAGAGGTTCAATTGTCAAAAATTCCGGCATTACTTTGTCCTTTCTCAAAACCAAATTATGACATAATACTATAAGCGAGAGAGAGAGAGAGAGAGATACAGTGATGAAAGAGATACGAAGTGCGTGCTGCGGGGGTGTGCAAAAAAACTGCGAAATGAATATTTTAAAACTCTGAAATTCCAAACAAAGGCAACTCCTGCACCCCCCCGTCCACAAAAAAGGGATATGAAACGCAATAAAAACATGACCGCCAAAGTACAGTAGTTCTTCCTCTTCTACCACGAACGGTAGGTAGCGGCAGCCAGCAGTCAAAGCTCTCGGACGCAACAAAGCGAAAGCGTAGCAAAAACAAGGAGCAAAAACAGGCATCAGATTGGAGTGGGATGCCGATGATGCTCAGAAAAAGCTTAGTAAGCTGCGCTGCTGCTGGTGCTGCTGCTGCTGCCACTGCCACTGCTGCTGATGTTTCTGCTGTTGCTTCTTCTCTTCTCTTCGCTTCGTTTTCTTTGCTTTACTTTATTTGCAAACAAAATGAATTATCAGGCCTTGTTCCCAGTTTCGTTTTCATAAAATGTTGATCGAAAGGAAAGTTGGAAGGCAAAAGATTGATTTGTATATTGTGCAATCTTCCGAATACTGTTTAGCGATCGAGTCCAGCCAAAACTCACAGCTCAAAATAATTTCAAAGTTGGCCCTAAAAAACCGCCTCAATGGCAATTTCCACTTTTGAATCAAATTATTGCGGAAGTGAAACTGAGAACAGGCAGTGGCTGTGTGCTGCTGCTGCTCGATGATGGTTGGAAGGAAGAACAACAGCAACAAACAGAAGGAAGGAGCAGATGATGAATACGAGAAATAAGCATAATAGAAGAACAACAAAACGAGGTACAAATTTCGGGGGAAATCGAAATTTTTGCGTCGTTTGTGAATTTTTGTTTGCTCTCCTTCTCCATCTTCATCTCTTCCCTCTGCCCAATACAAAACAAACTTTTATCCATTCTGAGCGCCTGTTTCTCTCTTTGGCTCTGTCTTTGCATGTGTATGAGTTTGTGTGTGTGTGTGTGTGTTTTTGCATGAAATTTCGCATACATGTGCATTGTTCAATTTGTTTTATATAACACACACACACACACACAAACGCAGAGAAACAGAACCCCAATACGATTTCCGCAACGCTTCTTGCTTATCTCTCAAATTAAGGTTTTTTCGTTTTGGGGCACGGTACGGTTACGGTTTCGCTGTCCTTACGTTACGGGGCGGCGAAAGTTTTTTGTAAACTACAAAATATTGTATATTAAAAGTTGTAAACAAAGGGGGACCACACAACAAATAAACGCCACAACGCGTGTGCAAAATATTTGCCGGCAGCAAGAGTCAACAAAAAAAAACCCTTTCAAATTTACTTTTTCCACAAAAATATATCCCTAAAATGGGGTATTTGAGATATGAGTAAAAGTTTGTTAAGCGTAAATTTCAAGCAACTAGAAAGAGTATTCCATGAACTGCAGGAATAACAAAAGTTGAGGCTGATATTTTATTATTATTTATTTCTAGAGGGGATTCACAGATCTATTATGCCTATCTGCCACAATTTGTTTATTGTGCACATTCGTATCTTACTCTGCCAGCCACTCTCTGACAGAGTATTAGAATCTTCGACTCGCAAATAATTCGCTACTTTTTGTTTCTTGTTCGTTTTTTGTTTTGGCAGTTTTTTGCATTTTCTTTTGATTTATTGAATTTTTTTTTTTTATATAATTTTTTTTGGTCTCAACAAAAAAGCAATTGTCATACATACATACATATAAAACTTTGTCTGTGGCTGCAGCCTCAGTGGCCGTAGCTGTCGCGCTATTTGCCGTCGGCGTCGCAGCTGGCGTCAGCGTGTGGTGGCTTTGCAAAAAGCCTTTGATAGTGGAAAAAGCAACAGCAGCAATAACATTAATGGCGCCGCAGCGGCAAAAGCAGAGAAACAGAGGCAGTGGCAGTGGCAGAGGCAGCGGCAGCGGCAGCCACAGCCGCAGCCGAAATATATTTTAGCATTCATTTATGCGATTATTTTTTGTTTTGTGTGCTCGCTTTGGTTTGCCGCGCAAAACCGAGCACTCTAGAAAGCTAGAGAATGTATCTTTCAGATACACGCGCCTTTGTGGTACTTGTTGTCGCTGTCTCTGTCTCTGTTTCTGCTGCTTGTGGAATTGAAATGTGCCCGCTGCCTTTTATGGCACCATCACCATCATCAGCATCAGAGGCATCAGCATTATGATTACGGCACGATGCGTGCGTAATGGCAATGGTTGGCGTAGTGGCCACCGCCGACAGCAGCCATCAGCCCGTCAGCCAGTCAGCAGATGTGGGTCGAAGAATCATCTTCCGCCCTGTGAAAGAATCAGAGAATTTATCACAGCTTAAACCGGAACACAAAAGCCAGTACAAATTTAATGATGATACACAGATGATACTTAAAAGGGATATGCACGTAGATTGGGGTTTACACTTGGGCTGTGGGGCCTATGGAAAAATGCGCCTCAAAATGTTCCAACCATCTCCCCAAATTACGAGCACAGATTAAAAGTGAAATATGTGTGTCGGGTCAAGAGTCTTTCAATCTTATGCGAGTAGGCCAAGAAACCATTTTGTTTCGCCCCTAAATAATATAAATATTGAGTAGGAATTAGTATTTGTAGGAAAATCATTAAAGACTCTTTGAGGCACCCATTCAAAGGAAATCTTTTACTTTTATTTCGCCCAAGGGCCAAGGAATCGATTCAGCAGAATCTTAGTATTAATCGCACATTTAATGATAAGAAGAGGAGGCTAAAATCTAGAATTTGATGCAGATTTATTTAGATATGTATTTAAAAGCGATATAAACTTATCTTAAGATATAGAAAAGCAGTGAAATAGAATTCCATTCTTGCCGTACAAATCTCGAAGCTCATACAGCGAAGCTTCACTGTGCCGCCCGCCCCTCCTGCTTTTCCCCATCAATTTTGAATGTTCCATCCATTTGAATGTTGACAGCAAAATGACATTGGCGCCAGCTTCGGGTGGGGAGGGGGTACCGGGACCCATCCGTGTTGTGGGGGATGTTTGTGCGGACTATTAAACAAATTACGTATACGCACTGTTGCACGCGTAAAATATTTATGCGTGTGGCGGCCGGGCGGGCGTTGCCCCCCGTCCCACCACGCAGCAAAAGCAAGCCAAATATATTAGCATACTTTTGTGTGCCAGCCTCCCCCTGTCCCCCGCCATTTTGTGTGCCACCCCCCTGTCGACCGCCATTGCGTGTGCCGCCGCCTGTGCATGTGTCAACGTAAGATTAGTAAATAAAATTCAGTGATTTGATTTTTTCAATCCCGCCGCCGCCCCATCTTCGAAGGAGAGCCAGCAGAGCGCCATCCAAGCAACAACAATGAGAAAATACTCATCGTAGCGCCCGAAATCGAAAGGCCAAAGCGAAGAGTATTGGGAAGCAGCAACAGTTTTTGTAATCGTCCCCCCACCACCCGATATAGGATATAGTCGCAGACTTTGTTTGGGGATCGAACGCGCGAGCAAACCACCCGGAGGAGGAGTTGGAGTTGGAGGAGGAGGAGGAGCAGAAGCCATCGGGCAAAGGGCATACACGGCCAAGCGGAATACACGTCGACGATTGCAATGTTTTTGTTTTACAATCGAAGCCTCTTTGCCATTGAACTGTTTGAGATTCTGCTGCTGCTGCTGCCACTGCTGCTGCTGACCGATAACAATGGAGGACTGACCCTCACCAATCAGCCAACAACAGGTGAGTACTGTACTCCTTTTGAACTATACTATTCTTACTATCCCCTTGCCAGTATACCCACCCAACCCTCTTTTCGATCTCGCTCTAAACTTGGGCAATAATCATAAACTAATGGCGTAACGGGGCAGGCGTGTCCGCATGCTACACTCCCAGCCAAGTCCTTACCCAAGAGTCTTGGGCCCCAAAAACTTGTTGAGTTTTCAACAGGATGGTTGGCTGGGGGTGGGGGCTTATTCGAGTGCTTGTCCCTTGCTTTTCTAGGGCCAAATCCCATAAAGAAAATCAGCAACATAAAATATTAAAGTTGGTAAAACACGCGAGAAAAGTTTTGTCGGTGTTCCAGATCAAACCCCCCCCCCCCCCCCCCGTGGAGGATGGGTGTGTGTGTGTGTGTGTGTGTGGCAGAGCAAAAAAAAAAACTACCCTCAGCTTTTATTTTTGGCATTCGCTTCTCCTGGGGGTTGCTCTCGGGAATAGTCCTTTTGCATGTGAGCCGGCCATCGGGTCGGTTATTGCGTCGTTGATTTGGCTAAGCGAAATTATAATTCCAATTTATTTGTAAGTGAACAAGTCACAGAGAGAGAGAGATAGAGCGGGCCAAGGCCCGCATCTGTTTTGGGTGGAATTATGAAATAAATTGAGAGATACACCTGTCACATTCTCACGAGAAGCATCCATCCTTTCAAAGTAAAAGCCAAAATGCAAATAGCCAACAACAACAACAACAACAAAAATAAAAGAAGTGCCCAACGCCACTCAGGCATGATGCTGGGGGGGTGGTACACCCGCATATTGGCATATGGAAAACGTTTAAATGTTTTTCCAATGTGCCTGAGAGACAATCAATCAATTCGAGGGACATATCATGCGGTCATCCCTCAATCCGCCCCCTCCCTCCTGTCAATCCAATTCCCCCATCACACACACACACACACACACACACACACAATCATCAACTATTTATCCCCAATTGCTTGGAAGAAGGAAAGGGGCAGGGGGGTAAGTTCATAAAACCAAACCAAATGCGAAAACTTTTGCACACATGACAGAGCACAGGACCCACAGCAGAGGAGGTGCCAGCAGCAGCAGCAGCAGCAGCAGGGAAAGCAGAGCAGGCCGGGCTATAGCTTGTCCAAGGGTGGCAGTGGGTGGTGGGCCGCCTCTGGCTGGTTTTTGGGGCAACGGCAACAGCAACAGCAAAGGCAAAGGCAAAAGTCCAAGTCCAAGTCAAACGACTAAGCGGCATGTCGTCAATAAATTTTCCATTAAATTCAAAGTAACCCAAAACAAGCAAAAATATAAAAGGAAAACGAGAAAAAAAAAAACAAGAGAGGTAGAAAAAAAATGTAAGGAAAAACCTGCCCCTCCTTCTCCTGCTGCTGCTGCTGCTGCTCTTCCCGTAACGGAGGGAAGGTACATGCCGTACATGGCATGGAACACTACATAACTTTTCCTTGTTGCACGACCATGTGTATCTGTGTGTGTGTGTGTGTGTGTGTGTGGGAGTCTCTTTTAGTGGTGTGGCGGTGGAGCGGAGGGGGAGGGGGATGTGTGTTTGTTATTGGTATAGCTTCCTGCTTTCCGCTTGCCTGACTGCCTGCCTGCCTGCCTACATCTTTTGCCGGGGAATTGCCTTCAAGTCTTCGAGCCTCTTATTCAATTTTCGCTAGCGTGTGGCGCCATCTAGCGCCCACCGCTACCACAGGCAACAACAACAACAACAACAACAACAGCAACAGCAATAAATGGCATCAAGCGTTGAACGATATTGTTGCCGCCGGCAATACACCACAGGCAGACACACACACCATAAGCTCGTATGGTGGAGGCAGAGAAACCCACAGAACAGAAACAACAACAGCAGCAGCAGCAGCAGGCAGCAGCCATCAAACATCAAAAGGATGGATAGGTCGAGGCTTCGGATACCCTGAAAGAATGATGATGGGGACCACTTTGGTGGGTTCTTTTTCCCAAATTCTATGAGCGGGCAGGGCAGTGTTTGCTGTCCCCAAAAATCTTGAGATGATCTCCTTCTCTAGAGGGGAACACATAGCCTGTGTTTCGATGTTTCCTGCTGCATTGCTTACAATTTGCTGTCTTCCTTCTATAGATCTACAATCTATCAATAACAGATGCTATTACCTGCAGAATTAACTTTTAATATAGCCAGAGTATTATTTTTATAGTCCTCTGATGGTGGCAAGTAATGCTCAATCCTAGCCCGGCTAGGCTGATAGTGATAGGGATCTTGGATATATAATATAAATATAATTTAGCTTTAAAAGCGTTTCTCCAGGCTTCTCCTTCACGGCCTGGCAACAGTCATTCCATCTAATAAAAGGGTATAAGTTTTCTTAGCACATCTTTTGTTGTTGTTCCTTTTGTTGCTATTTGTATGTATGTATGTATGTATGTAGTTTGTTGTTGCTGGTTTAATCGTATACAAGTTGTGTATGTGTATGTACTATGTATGTAGCAACAAATCGTTTGTGCCCCACTGCTGGTGCTGTTGCTGTTGAAGCAACAACCCGAGAAGCCCTCTCTCCCATCCCCCATCTAAGAGTGCTCCGTATTCATATGCAAATATCTCTGGGACCCTTCGTTGCTTTGTTGTTTCTGCTGTTGTTGCACGCCACTTTTGTTGTTTTTGTTGTTGTTATTATTGTTCGGGTGCGTTGGCGTCGCTGTCACCATTGGCATCGGCAACGGCAACGGCACCGGCGTCTGCGTAACTGGCGCCCAAAGCTTGATTTCAATTTCCAAGTGCTTCCTGCTGTTGGTGCTGCTGCTGCGGCGTGGCGCTCTGCTATTTGACATCTCAAGCAGCGTTACAACTTGGCTGCCACCAGAACAACAAGCAACAACCAAGAACAACAACAAAGAGCCAGGCCAGCAGCCAGCAACCAGCAAGAGGAACAAGTAAGAGAAATGTCTTCTTAAGGCGCTGTAACTGTTGGATGCCCATTAAAGAATATTTCTATGATCGAATTTGGAAAACTTATCCGGAAAAGTTTTTTTGCATAAGAAATTTGCATCAATGTGCCACACGACATGTATGTTGTTTTATTTGTGTTATTCATAGGCATTCTCTTGTAACAGCATTCGCTTGTGCATCTTTCCCATGAGCCTTGTAGCGGCTTCCCTAAGCTAAGGCCAGTCTCCCTGTTAGTATACCTTCTTGAGTCGGAAATACTTATTTTTCTTGAAACCTTTTCGTCGAGGGTATTTTTAGAGCAGCAAACAAACAGCACCACGCCAGTGAGAGGGTGGTGGCAAAACAGTTGAAACAACAACTTGAGGAGTCAACGTTTTGCTGGGCGCAATAGAAAACAGAAAATCGGCTCATCCAGACCACAAAATGCAAGCGGCGTTTGCCGCTCTTGACTGGAGTGTGGAGTGCCCCCATGAGTATGGTTAGATGGTGGATGGGAGGCTGCCGGCGATGACGATGAGCCCTAAATGCTGCCGGCGCCGAAAGAGACAGCTTAAAATGGTTAGAAAGAGTGAACGAGTGGGAAAGAGAGGGAGAGAATGGGAATAGGAGCAGACTTTTGCGGTGTCTTGAGCTCCGCCTTGAAAGTCCCCCAAAAACTGTTCGTTCTATCTATATATTTGTATCTGTACATAGCGCATTTTGCCTGATTAAAGTTTCTACACATGCACACACACACACACACATAGACAGAGAGAGAGAGCAAATGGCTATGGGAATGGGAATGGGAATGAGATGACGATGACGATGGTGTTCTGCCTAGAGAGGAGGATCCTGCGTCGCATTATTCGCAGCAGTTTTCCCTCGTTTTATAGCCTCATTGAAAATCTCCGGCATTTCCTTGACAGCTTTAAACTGATTGCTCCGCTGTGCAGGCAGCAGCAGCCTGCTGCTGGTCGCCTTCGATTCGATTCAACTCAGCTCACGTCCGCCTCGCACCCCGTGAAATGTGAAAATTCTTTGGGAAAATCAGTTAAGTACAACATGGACGGACATGGACCTTACAGCCACCTTCCCCTTCCCCGCCCACCCTACAGGGCCCTGCGGCCGAGTCGCACTTAGCAAGAAAGCAAAGATTTTACTTTTTCATCGTCGCGAAGAAAAATCTTTGGGGAAAATATTTTATACATTTCATAATCTTCTGATGCGGATGGTGGTAGGGGGTGGCAGGGCGGCAGGGTGGCAGGGAAATGGCGATAGCCAAGGAAGTGTCTGTGAAACATATTTCCATTTTTTTTGTGTGCTGACAATTATACGAAAATCATCCCCATCTATAGAGAGCGAGACACACCTCCCTTTCGACACTTATCTGACGCGTGCGGTGTCCAATAAAAAGCATAATTCTATTAGTTAAATTAGGAAATTGCAGTGGACGAATATTTTGATTTAACTAGAGTTTTGAAGAGTTTTTTTAAAAGCGCTAAAACCACTTTAATATATGCCAGAGAGTTGAGAATGTTCTGCGAAAAGTAGATTTTGGAGGCTTCTTGCTACAGGCATCCATTTTTTTTTTTGCTACCATTATCAAAATCCTTCCCACATCTAAATAGATTACATCCCTTAACCATTTACCATCGTATACACAGTGACAATGAGACATTGAACTGATCTTCTTTCTGTCATAGTCAAAAGTATTGTATTTATTTCCCAAAGTTATTTTTCGTCTAGACAAAGATGACAATTCAGTTTTAGTTTATTAAAGGTTCTGTGCTGACATAAGTAAGCCAAATATATATTACTTACTATAGTTATTTATAACTTACAATTTATAGACAGGTCCAAAAAAAAATCATAAGTAGACAACAATTAATTTTCAATCATTAGAAAATGATAGAGACTTTGAGAAAGAATGCTATATATAATAGACCACTGTGTTGTAGGCTGCTTACTTTTGCTTCTTGGTACTTTTCCGCTCGGTAGACGCGTAAGCATATTAAGGCCTCACTTTCGGCCCATCCACAGCCACAGCCACGGCCACGGCCACATCTACATCCAGAACCCCCATTGC